AAGTTCGTGTACAGTTACCTGTATGCCAGTCACTCCTTAAACTTCTTGTCAGAGCAAACCATGACATGCTTTCTTGATGTCAGGTTAGTTTCAGTTGATTAAGAATGTGGAAGGCAAACAGCACAGATCTGAGAATGCTCATCCTAGGATTTCGGTATTTTAGACAAAGATGCATTGACAGATTTACGAGTGGTTATGAAGGCAAGAACCAGCCCCCGTAGCAACCAGTGGAATGGAGAACAGCATACTTGTGTAATTGAAGGCTTTGAATTGTTCCATAGGAGAAAAATGTACCCCTCTAGTTTGCCTTGATACAGTAAATTCCCATTACAACACTCACAGATCTAACGCTCAACCAGATAGAATACTTCTTTTTGACATCTCCGGCTGTTCCTCCATTGCTTGTGTGCATTCAACTTTGGTCCCTGAAACAAAAAAAATTGCTCTGAGAAATGGTTTCTGTTAAAACACCACAAAGTTTGGACGTTGGATTTTTGTGAAGTGCGGTGGTACCACATCAGCGGGAATGGAGTGCCCACCTGTATCGACCATCGCTGCATGAGCCCAGCCATGGTCCAACAGAAATCACACTTCACCTGACCGCTGAAAATAACTTTGTACTGAGAGCTGAAGATAAATACATGACAGTGGACCAAAAATGTTATGCACAAAGAGGAATGTGTAAAATTTCTTGATGCGGTTGCATTAATTATAGAGCTTGACAAAGATAACGCTGAAATAAGTTTGGTCCCTCTTAGAGGGCTAGAATAGGAATCTGCTGTGGTAACAAAAAAGTGTATTCAGTAGTAAAAATGGCAGTATAACTGTTCGCTGATTTTTTTTCTAGTTGATTTTCCAGTAAAAGTGAGGATACACCTCCTGGACAAGATGGCTGACGTAGAGTAAGTTAAAACAATTACCATCATCCTGAACCACTCAAAACATCCTAAATTCAGCACCTGATTGTGGTTGATTTGGACGGATTTGAGACTGCAGAGCCCCAGTAGTCTACATTGATGATGATGCCCCCAGTTTTGTTGGGTCCAAAGAATGTTCCATGAAAATACTGTATAGAGTTGGATTCTGGTAGATCTAGGAAGTTTCTCAGAAAAAGGAAGGACCATCTGTAATCCACTTACAGATGGCATTATTTTGACCTTACATCTTGGCTTTCAGAAAGAGGCAGGAAAGATCAGCCAACTTTCAATCAGTCATGTACAGTCAAACGCCGCAAATACTGTACTGACCCGTAAGGGATTTATGAACAATATTTGTACAATTTTTCATGAGCCGACCTCATATTTTGCAACACTGCAGAGCTCTGCCGCAGAGTGGAATTAAATTGTTAACAATGGGCCATGTACAGTGGTCAAGTTCAGTACACAGTCCACCTGTACAGCCTTCGCAGACTTTGTGTATACGAACAAAACAAATGAAAGGATGGGCATTTATGGGCGTCCGCTGGCAGTGACTCGGGGCAGTGTGCCAGTTTAACCCATCAGCCGTCCCACTATGTGCTTGCTGCCAGATCTTGTTTACTGACCTGGCACAAATTGGTATACTCAAGTCAGCACATGTGTGAAACTATTTTCGTACCTCATTTTGATGTGTCTTGAGAAGTTAGGGCACCAAATGTTCAGTCCTTCAGGGGTTAGAGCGCCAAAAAGTTAGTTTTTGTTCTTGATTGGTCTTTGGCATCCTAGTGTTCATGTTTTAACCTGTTGCAGGCACCGTCTGGCTGCGGGTACCAGTGAGAAAATCCAACTGGGCTCTCTACTGGCAGCTTTCCAAGTGGCTCGAGACATGGTGATGGCCGAGGCGTGATGGGATATTGTGACTGAGGAATGCTGGGAGGTATGATGTCATCTCACTTGATAGTTATTTCAGTGATGAGCTTACAGCTTTTGACAAGCCCTCTGGGCCACATCTTGAAACATGGATGTTTCCTGACTCCAACTAGGTCACCAACTTGGGGATTGCTGCTTATAACTATGGGTCTGGTTTTTGATCCTGGGATTTGTACGATAGTCCTCATTTCTTCATCTCTAAAAGGACTGACAACTGTTGAGGTTTATATAAATAGTTGAGCTGAACGAGAAGAAGCATCTAAAGCTTCCTATTAGGGTAAAAGACCTAATGTTTAGAGTTCAGAGAGGGAAATAAAGCCAGAAATGGGAGTTGCAAGAGGGCGTACAAAAGGAAAAAGAACATAAAGAAGCTGAGGGAAAAGAGATCAAAGGGGATGAGAATCACCAGTTTGCTTGAAAATACCTTGAAATTGCCCCCATGGACTGTTCATGCTTGTCAGTTCCTTGCGTATGAATGCTCCCCCCTGAAAATTACCACCCTGGGAAAAAGTGCTTTGGCCCCCTCCCCCACCCCCTGCCTTGGAAAAAAATCCGACTGAGTCCCATAAAGCCAGGGATTTTAATATAATATATACACCATTTACTATAATAGAGCTTCTCCAATCAAGGCTGTTGCCTAGCAACTGATGGCTGTTGCTAAGGAGACATTTTACTTTTTTAATCATTTCAGAGGGTGAATGGAGGTTCTCATCATAGCATTTGGACTGTGTCAATTAACTTTCTTGTACTTTCGGATATAAACAGGTTTGGTAATTTTTCAACAAATACAATGTACAGAGTGTTCCGTTTTGCATTAAACAAGAAAACTGACCTCTTTAATGTGTAATTTGTGTTACCTGATTCAAGTAGAATGCCCATTGGTAATAACCAGGCCTATCAAAGGTTAGAATGCCTGCTAGCTCAACATACAAGTCTTCCCTTCCCCCCCCCCCACAATTTCACTCATACATGTGCATGTATTTATTTCACCAATTTTGTGGGGACTGAAAATGTTACTGGGCCAGAGAATAATGTTGTAACAAGTCACTAAATTTGGTGTCAAGTTGAGTCATTTTAACATTGTGACTCGAGTCATCAGGTCAAAAAGTTGAATCACTGTAGTTGAATCAAGTACCGAGCTTGAGTCAATTTGAGTCACAAATTTGTCAACAAAATACTTTGGTATACATGTATTTATTTTCATTTAGACTCACTGAAAATAAGTGAAAATTTTGCTTTTCATTCTTTTGAGACTCGAGTCTTGTAAGCTTGTACTCTCCTCATGAGACTCAAGTCATTTGGTCACAGGCTTGAATCAAGTCATTCGCCAATTGGGAGTTAATTTTGACAAGTCAGACTTGATTAAATGCCCCAACTCAATCCTGATTTGCCTTAAAAAGAAATTGTCCTTTTTACCACTGAAAGCCTGCCCATGCATGAGAACAAAAATTATTACAATCCTGTGAACCAAAGCTGGTGATGGTCTGCCTTGGTCAGTGTTTTGACAAATTATGCCCCCCTCAATGTACTTCTGCTACGCCACTACACTACCTTCCTGAATATTCTAGTGAGATGGTGAAGGTGCATATACAGTCAAACCTCGCTAATAAGAGCACTGTTAATGCAAGACACTGCTTATAACAAGAAAAATTACAGGTTCCAATCCTTCCTTTTTTTCATTCCTGATAATACAAGATTTTTGTTATAACAAGGTAATTTGCCAAGTCCGAAGGACCTCTTATTAACAAGTTTGACTGTATTCCCAGGACATTACTGTTGGGAATCTTGGTGAATCCATACATCACTAAGCTGCACCCAGCTGTATTATTCTCTTCATTAGAAGAACCATTCTTCTCATTCCCGTAAAAAAAAAGACAAAAAATGCTTGACCTATGAAGAGTCGTTACCAGTCCTGTAAACTGTGACAAAGATTCTGTGCATTTATGGGAAATTACAAAAAGTACCGACAAGGGATTATTTCTCGGGATACATTAATTACAATGTACCACCCTTTATTACCAGTTTCCCACAAAACACTTCTAGTCAAACAAGCTACACCTAGTTTTCACTAAACCTGGACACAAATTACATGTATTCAATTCTGTACATATGTGGAGTATAAATTACATTATTTCCATGTACATGTTATACAAATGCAGCAGGTGGAAGCTTTGAAAATAGAACAGGTAAAATATTTCATGTTCCATTTCGAGATTCAACAATGAATTAGCCACTGCAGAAGTCACGTGACATAAAAAAATACGTCTATAAAACAAATACAGTGGTATAGAAGTTCTATACTATGAAAAGGTTGAATTCCATCAGGCTTCAGTGTGCATCATGTGGTATAAAATGGAATCACCCAAAAAGACGTGCTGTAGATACAATAATGGGTAAGGGCAGGTGTAAGTCACTCAGTACTGGCTTTTTTTTTCTCGCATTTAGTTTAGCTCTGAATACAGAGCAATAAAAACCAATGCCCATACAACACAGTACAATGTAAACTTTTAATTGGATGTTAAAACTTGAACTTAAAAATTATTAAAAAAAAGTCCCCGCTGAGCTGACTTTAGCATGTTAGCTGTCATTGAAAAGATTGCACAAGTATTTAAAATTCTTTTGTGACACCAAGGGTGTTTATGATGAAGTACATGTATTTGAGTTTTGCTTATAAAATGTTTTCCCTGAAAAATGGCGTCAGTAGCCCATTTTGGTAACACCATGGACTTGAAGGTCTGTGGCTGAAAAAGAATGCGATTAATGCGGTCCATGGTTCTCAAGCTGATTATTTTTGATCTTAACATAAATTTTCTAGCATCTATAGTCTATAAACTATAGTCTTTATTCACAAGTCAGCCATGTTGAAATTAGAAAGCAAGGTTAACTCTTTATTTTGGGAACTCCGAAGTTGAAATGGAAATGAAATGTCACGACAAATGACATTGTACCCGTCTTCTCTGACAATGAATGCAACTTCTTAGTGCCCATAATCAGGCTGAACTTTTTAGACACTCCAGATTTACTCCAACATGGACCAAAACCAGTCCGATTGCATACCCAATGGGGAACATTTTAATTTTAAAACACTTATCTAAAAAAAAAAAAAAAAAAAATAGCCTACATGTTCACGTTTTCGGGAAAAATCTTATACAAATTTATCCATTTATGTTTACAAAGTATATGTAGATACAATTCAATTCATGGCAACGGTTTCCATGTTGGCTGCTCATTCAAAAATGAAATTTTAATATTTACATTTTCATGAAAATTATTAAATGACCTCAAATTGGATTTCATCATACAATTGATATTTAAGAATTGCAAGTTTAAAGAGGTTATCTTATAAATCAGATACAGTACTTTGTATGTTACAGGCAATTTAGTTAATATCAGCAAAGTTGATGTTGGCCCAAAATCAACTTGGCTGATAAAAATTAGCATTAGGGAAAAAGTGATCTTAACCCACTCTCCACACTGACAAGAAAATTTAAAGTTAGACTTAAATTTCAAGTACAAAATGCTTATGTACCAAACACTGTATGACAACTAAAGAATACATATAAAAAGGTGAAGGAAAAAAGTACTAAAATTTGTCACTAAAAAAGGTGCAACCATCAGCATTGATAGCCATATGTAAAATGCACAAGTTTAAGCAATAAGCATTGTTTACTAAAAAGATTGGTTTTGTCCCCAATCAAAAAGAAAAGGGATTCACAAGTTTTCCACAATGCATCTAACAGAAATTGACAAACTGACCAGACATGGTGGCAACACATCCATCTAGCAAGAGTTCATTAATCGTGCAGATCTGTGGCGGCCATTCACTCTCCTCCTGGCTGGCGTGAACAGCTTCTTTGGCTTAGGTGGCTGCGTGGCACTCTTGTTCAGGCTGCGTAGCGCCCTCTGTGCCAGCGGCACATCGGACTCCGTGGGCGAGTTGCGGGTGTTGTACCGCGTCTGCTTGAAGGGGCCATCCAGCTTCTTCTTCTGGCTCTTCTGGGCCCGGCCTCTGCGTGTACAGTAGTCCGGATTCCCGTTCTTGCAATAGGAGCACCGGCAGTCTTTAGTTGGGCTGTAGTCGTTGCAGCTGCTGCCGCAAAACTGGGACACGCCGTTGGTGCACTCAAAGCACTCACACTTCTCTTCCTCTTCCTCCTGGAGGTCCGGATTGGTCAGGTACTCCCGTACAATCTCGATCTTGGGCTTGTCTGTCCACTTCTTTTTCCTGAGGCAGTACGCAGCCCAATTGTTGTGGCAGTCATAGCAGTCACACTTCTCTTCCTCTTCCTCCTTTGGGGTCAGCCATGGGGAAGGGGCAGAGTCATGCCTGCGGATGCGCTTTGTGTTGCTCGCAACCGTCGAGAAGGGGGTATTGATATAAGTCTCACCGTCGGGCTTCACCCTCTTAGCTGTAGGCCAGTCAGACCACTCGCAGTCTTCGTCCTCCAAGAACTTCCTTTTAGGTTGCCACCACTCCTCCCTGGCCTCAGCGGCCACCTCCTCTGGGGTGGGGTAGTGGAAGCGGAAGACAAAATCCCGGTAAGCGTTGCTGTGCCGCATCTTGGGTCGAACGCTCCCAAAGCCCTGGACACCCACAAAGTCCGTCTCCCCACGGATACACAGACCCATACCTGGGTCTTCCTCTGTTTCTTCTCTGGCCTCAGGACTTGTTAACTTTGGGGATTCTTGTGAAGAGCTTGTGGACGGCGAGCTTGCTGATGCTACAGCACTTTCAGGAGCAGGACTACTGTCTCCTGTGGTCGCACTAGGAGAGTCTGTCTTGGCGTCACTTGTCTTGGCTGCCTCCTCTTCGTTTGTTTTGGCTGGCTCCTCTGCTGCATTTTCTCTTTTCTGTGTCTTGATTCCATTTGATGCTTTTGACGAGTCCTTCGGGAAGTCAAACATGATTGTAATGGCCGTCGTGTTGTCAGCTCGAAGTGAGCGTAGCACCCACCTGTTGATGGCATTCTTGACAAGTCGCTGTGCCATCGTCTCCCGCATTTTCTCCCCCTGCACAAAGTGAAAAAAAAATCTATTTGAAATAACAATGCTGAATGACAGTGAAACTGAATAACACTTAGTATGCCATATCCCTATTGACCTTCTCAGTGTTAAGAAGTCTTAACTCTACAGTTAAAGGGTTCATGAAAAGTTGTTTCTATTTGTTATAATTGGAAACTGTACATTTTTAAATGATATCCAGAATGTTAAAAATTAATGCTTTGATTAAAATATAGGAGACAACAATTTGGTGAAACTGCCCTGCCCCCGCGTGGGAATGGCCCCGCCTCCGAGTGGTATCTCATTAACATAGAAAATCTGCATATCTGTGATGTACATTTGAGAAGACATCATCGCAAGCCGCTAACGCGTCAATACATATCCCCGGTCGAGTTTGACAACTTCAGTCCAATTTTGGGTGTTTTAGAGATAATGCCAATCAGACTTGTTGCCGCAGGCAGCAGCAACACCTATAAAGATTGGATAAGCCTGCAAAACCTTCCAACCAAAGTGAAATTTAGATGAATTTGGGCATCGAAAATCAGGCCGATCAGGACAAATGGTCAGGACCAACAGAGAGTTCCAAACTGACCATTTCGAGTCACATTGTTTTCTTCTGAACACGCACAACTAGTTTTGCAGATGCTGCGCGCACGATCTGTGGGAAAAACTGAAAGTGGAGCTTTCATGAAATGCGAACAACATACCCCATGTACGCATGCTTTTACCATATGCGTGGGCATTGTATACATGGACATGAACATGTATGTAGTTTACGATCGAACATTCCACAGGCATGTAAACTGTGCGTGTCCAATGTCCATGTTCCTCTCAGGTGTAGACAAACCCAAAGGGTGCCTGACTATAATTTGGGTTCTCAAATGTACATGTACATCACCCACAACGCCATCATTTGTCAGGATTAAAACATTCATCTGAGGGTTCAGTAAAACGAACCACAAATGGACTTCAAGTCCATTTTTACATTCCCTATCGTGTTATTGGCATAGTAGGGAATATTTTAAACAATTAATCCACAGTTTGTCCATGGAGGTCTTCATGGACTCTTTAAGTTCAGTTTTCAAACAACCAATAAAAATAGTGCAATCCACTTTTATTTCAGTGTTTATGAATAGAGTAATGTACACCAAGGCTTCAACTAGTCTTGTGCGTAATGGTCATGGCACGGTCTAGGACATAGCGTGTTTATCGATAAAACTAAGCCAAGACACAACACATATAATAAATGTTCAACAGAAAGCACTACCACATGGTCAAACATGGACTACAATATCAACTTTTTTTGCAGCCAAACATATTTGGAAACAGTAACGTGAAGACGAACTATGACTCAAATTACACTGAAGGTACCTGCATAATCAGCAGCAAGAGTTAATGACGTGGGACTGAAAAGCCGTTTTTGAACTGTTTGGAACATGGGAATTGCTTCACAATGACAGAGTGGGTAATAATACATGTACGTTTATCCTTCCTCCTGGACTCCCAATTAGAAAATAAATAGGGCAAAAAATGTGAAGATAGCATTCAATACCCACCTTGTGTGCCAAATTACTGATAGAAATTCTTCCTAAGTAAATTCATTAGGAAATAACAAAAAAAAAAAAACACATCAGAAGGCTGTTGCTGGGTGAGTTCTAGATGCAGATATCATTTATTTTCCTTTCTAGTGATTTATAAGCAATCAGAAAGTGATGTCCAAAAAGTTGAATTTAGCAGTGAAAATGTTGAAGCATATAGCCTCGTAGGGCTTGTACACAGGGTGTCAAGTGATGTCTGTGCATGGACTCTTTCCAAAACCTGAAACTTGTGTGAATGCATACTCCTGTCCTATTTTTGTTAAAGTGGTAATCTCTATTCTTTGTACGGGCCTGTGCCTATGAGCTCTCTGATGTTGACCTCCCCTGACCTTTCTCTTTTCCTGATGGTACATGGACAGGATGTAGATGGCGTCGCTGGAGCTGAGCATGTTCCACAGCCCATCACTGCCCATGACCAGACACTGATGAATCCTGGGGTCCAGCACGTGGTGACTGACGTCGGGCTTTGGGGAGATTATGTAATCGTCATGGAGGGTGCTGTAGCTCCACAGGTCTCCTATTGTGTTAGATCAGGAAATTCCACACAAAATGAACACTTTTGTCAGATTGTTTCTTTAAGAGCATTTGCACAGCACCAACAAACAATCCATTTAATGATCCCCTCTTTTGTTTTGAGAACGATTCCAAAACAAGTGTCAACACGTCATTACTTCTGCAAAGACCACTTTACCGATACACTAACAAATGAGTAAAGTCACAAAATATGGAGGGCCTGATGTTTATAAGATTCTGCAAAGATCGAAATGTCAGGCCCTCCATATTTTATGATTTGTAAGGTAGGTCACAAGCAGTTGCAACAGTTTTGTACACGTATTACATATCTCTGAAATAAGTAATAGATTGTCCAATAACCCTGACCTCACCGAACTACCACTCAGTAAGTGGCAGTAAAATCAGATTACATTTTACAGGCGTTGTTTGCAATAAAAAAAAAGCCTGATTGCGTCAAAGCGTCAAATCTCTAAAAAGGGGCAGCTCTGTTTAAACGTCTGGGAAAATCTGTATACGGATTTGGAATTTTTTTCGCTTAGACATTTAAATGTGTAAACGTCCCACCCTTACAGACGTGTGTTTTAAATAGAACATCTCCAAGACACTTCTCATCAGTGCTGTAATTGGGACCCCTTAAGACCATCACAAGACCTCCAGTCTGCATTCAAGTCACAAGCTATTCAAAATGAACAACAAAATTAGGGCTGTTGATTATCGAATATTCGAATATTATTTTCTGAATTTGAATATTTGAATGCAAAATTCCTGAAAAGGGAGAATTTTCTTTTGTGTTAAATGAGAAAAGTTGCACTATGGAGGCTTGTTTCAAGCAGATTTAAATAGAAAGCAACAGAAATCTGACGATTCAAAAATTTGAAAGGAATTGAAATTTTCAACAGGGCAAGAAGCATTGTTCGTCTCTTAAATTTTACTAAATCATGACTGGAGATACTACCAGACGTGAGCAGCTATTATAGTGATTTTAATGTACAATTGTGTGTGTTGTTACAATTGATTTTGTATATGGTTTGTTCATCAACAATCTGCCGGTCCGTACAACCAAATATTCGATCGACTTAGCCCCAAAACAAAATCATTGCTTTGTCACTGTTCACCCTGTTACTCCTGACTTGCCCATGGTCTTGTGATGGTCTCTAGGACAATATTCGTGCTCACCTAGGGATCGTGCAACGGCCAGAAACGGAATCTGGTCCACGCAGGTGCTGCGGCGGACAGGCCCGCTGTGGTCCAACTTGGTACGTTCCCATACCACCCGCTGCACGCCATTCTTGCTTTGGATCTTGCCACCGATGGCCTCGATGCGCTTGACCTCCTTGGGCGACTCAGGCTTGTGATCGACGGTGACAGTACGTGACTTCAGGCCCTGATGGCCATACACCCCCATGACAGCCCGCGAGTCGCCAACATGTGCAATCCACATGTGCCTGGCTCTGACGATGGCAACACAGGCCGTGGTACCTGAAGTGCTTGGGTACCCAGATTTTGTTGTGCCCCAACTGCCTGATTCAAAAAATGGACAAGGGAAATATCAGCAATGAACATGTATTAATTTTCAGGCTCAAGTTACTAGGGCTGCGCTGAAAATGCAAACATTTGATTATTTATCAAATAATATTTTAAATCAATCAATTTTTTGACATATATATTATACGGATCTTCGTGTAAGTGTCCAAAACATTTTTCTGTCTTTGAGTCTAAGGCCTTTTAAATATCTAATTTTCCTTTGACATTTCTACTTTTCTATCGAAGTGTTCCACATCAAATCTTAGTTTCGGCCAGATATTTTACAAATTTTAGGCAAAGCTTAAAGTTCTGTACATTCATTCATGCACTGGTGTTTTCAGCAGCTATTTTTGACAGCTGAACAACCTGTAAATTATGACAGCCTTGGAGATATTCTAAAATATCATTCAATGTCCCCTCTTATGCAAATTACATAACATGTTATGGCATGCATGTACATTTCATGCATATTCATGACAATGAAGATTTTGTCAACTGGCTTTACCATTACTAGTAACTAGTAAGTAACAATAATCAACACTGATTTGATCTAACTGGGCTGCATTCAAAAACCCTTTGTCAAAAAAACTCATTGTCTTGACGGCTATTCCATGTCAAGACATCTAATCTGCTGCCCAAGTTTTGGAAGAGCCCATTGGTACATGTAGTATCTTATCGCTCAGTCCGCGTATTACATATGTCTTGACATGGAACAGCCATCGAGACAATGAGGGGTCAAGTGACGTAATGTTCAATGACCTTAGTTTAAAGATAGCGACTCTGAGAGCGAGCCTGTGAGATTGAATGGGTGAAGGCAAAAAGACTGGAAAATACCAGAACAATGTGAGTGAAATCATTCAATAAATGGCGCTAAGAAAGCGGAGAGGCTAAGGATCATCTCTGTGTGCAAAAGAAATTGCACCCACGATGATAAGTAGGTGCGCCGAAAATTTTCAGTTCGCCGACACGAAACTGCTTATACGGATGTGTGGCTAAAGATGGATCGGGAGTGAGAGTCCATGCCACACTAGTGGGGCTAGGGGTGACTGCAGTCATAACAAGGCAACTCGTCTCAATTACTAAATTACTGCAATGGTCAAGTTGTCTGCCCATTTGAGGCAGACATGGCAGAAGGTCCAGTTTTCTCACCGGACAAGTTGACTCAATGGTCAAGTTGTTCGAAGTCAAGTTGGCAAACAGATTACAGTTGAGTTGTCCGAAGTATTTTGCATGTTTGGCATGCTTGGGTGGGGTATGGGTACGGTGGCTACCGGCATGACCAGGGTCTGTCATCATGGCATGTCCGTTGTCATGGTTGTGCTAGTGCCACTTTAACATGTTTAAGCCTAATCATATCTGAAAATTTAAAACAGGACTAGGCCTAATATTTCTTAAAATTTAAAACATTAGACCTGTTGGAATGGAGCTTTGCTTACCTCGTTTCTTCCACATAGCTTCTTGTGTTTTAAGAAATCCATCACTGATTGCTTGCTTGACTTTTGTCGGGTCTTTAGATTCGAATCCCCGCTGTGCTTTGATGGTGTCCCATAACGTATCACGCGCGAAAACTGCAGCTTCCTTTCCACCGTGCCCGTCGAAAACGCCGAAAAAGGCACAATCGTTGTCCGTTCTCCGTTCATAACGGATGGCAATCATGTCTTCCATGTGATCCCTACCACCCTGATTGGAATCGCTGGTCACACGAAGTCCAAGAACTTGTCTTTTGGCGGGCATTTTGGGAGTGGAATATCTGCCGGTTTTTACGCCTGCGAACTCCATTTTGCAGTACGATGTAGTGGACCTTTTGCGCGCGCTCAATATGATTCTTTTGTGTATTAACAGTTTGACCTCGGCGTTCTTGTTCGTGCAAGCGAAAAAGCGACGTTTTGATTGGTCCATCGACTAGATAAGCCCGCCAACTGGTTTATAATTGGGCGCATTTTCTATAACTTGGATTAAAAGGTCAAATCAAGTCCTTTAAGCCGCGTAAAGCTTTTAACTATGGAATAATACGTAGCTGGCATACATCGAATGCATTGGTGCGTGCATTTACATGTACAGTACATCTGCATGCACATACATGTAGAGACACGTATATGATTTACATAATGTACATGTTTATAAGCATTTTATTTGCAGCGCCGGAGTTGCAACGGTTATTTGCTTCTTGATTGCCACGCAGTGGCGTATCCGGGGGGGGGAGCGACAAATAAAAAAAAAACATGTACATATACATTTTTTCTTAGTGTTTTTTTTTTTTGTCAACTGAGATTACTTCATGGGTGAGTAGGAAAGAGACTAATCGGCAGATTTCTTTATCAAATCAACAGGCTGTATTTTTCTCCCCATTATCATTAGCCCGAAAGTGCATTTGCTTTTGAATCCCCCCTCCCCGAGACCAAAAGCTGAATACGCCGCAGACAGAAGTGTTTGATTCGAAGTGATCAGTGATTATCTCAACAGACTGAACATTTTGCAATCGGGACTGAAGTGTTTGAAAGGCTCTTTACCTCTGATCAGATGAGAATACAGAAAATACATTGACTCTGCTTTTAACCGGTGACGCGATGTAGCGATTCGGACGGTATAAATAGTGATTTTCGCTCCATTCATTAACTTTTTGCTGGGATGCGACACGCGGCGGGTTGGGTCGGGCACGCTGGTAGGGTGGGCGTGGGGTGAGGCACTGTAGGCTTGCCACGGACGTG